CATGTGCACTGAATAAATGATATTGCAATATTGGATGCTCTAGTTTCATCTTTCAATGCATTTAGCATGGTATCTGGCATACAACTGCTGCAAATGTGTAGTTATTGAAAATATAAATGCATAAATGGTTGAATGGCTCTACCATTTTGGCATATTTATCAAATTCGGTTGAAGTCAATTGAGGTCAAATATGCAAACTGGAAAGAATGACAAATCCAGTGATCCACCTCTTCTTTTCAAAGTGGGTTAGACTTAGTGACTCAGTTCTAAAGAATAAAATAAGGAAGGAAAAAAATAGTAACTTTTTAGTGGAGGAACATGGCAAATACTACTGTAACCTAGTGATCAGGTTAATATTAGCAGGGATGTCATGTGGATATCAGTAAGTTCCAACATGATAGGACTAGAAGGTTACTCCACCTCTGCAGTATTCTAAGAACCCATAACTCCAGTCTAATTATGAGTAAAACAACAGACAAAGCCAGACTAAAGGATATTCTATAGAACACACCTAGTCAGTATATCTCCAGACCATCAGAGTCATAAAAAAAATTTTTTTTAAAGGAAAGGCTAAGAAACTGTCACAGACCAAAGAGATGGGGAGGACATGCCACCTCAATGCAATGTGGTGTCCTAAATTAGATCCTGGAATAGAAAGTCCAAGAGTTTAGTTACTAGTAATGTAGCAATATCAGTTTCTTTGACAAATGTACCAGGGTAATATAAAGTACATCACAACAAGGAAAAATGAGTGAGGGGTATACAGTAACTCTTTGTAGTATTTTTGTAACTTTTTGTAACTCTAAAATTGTTCCAAAATAAAAAGTATATTGAAAAAGAAATTCAGTGATGGATAACATGAGGCACTTAATGTATTAGGACATAAGGAAGAACATTTGCAGATACCTGGCCAGATCATCAAATATGGGCATGCAGTGTTTACATGCTTCATAGATTTAAGACTCTTGTCATTACAGTGGACTTTTATACTAACAGACACAGTAAAAGCAAATTGAATGATTATCTACATGTTCTTCACATAATCTTTCTGTGATACTTATTAGTATCTATTTTTGAAGGTGAGAGATGACTTAGAAGGTGGTGGTATGTGCAGTTTGAAGTGAGCTGCCTCAAGCCAGAGCTCTGCGTGGAGGAGTCAGCCCTACGGAGTCTGGCTTTAAGGACCTGCACACTGATGGGCAGTGTGAGGGTAGGGCCTCTCCAACAACAGCAGCCACAGTAATCACGGCTATCAGTTCTGGATACCAGGCTAATGCGCCAGACTTCGCACCAGGGCTTTCATATGTGAGATTACACTTAACCCTCAGTACTGTATGAAGTTGCAATTGTATTCTCATTTTAGAGGTGAGAAATTTGATCATCAGAGAAATTACTTTGTCAAAGTTGCAAATGAGATTCAAACACAAACATTTCTGACTTTTCTTACTAAATCACTAAACAAGGAAATCCCATTAGGGCAAATGCCTAACTAAATACCTAATCTGGGTATAATCCTATATCATTAGTTTTAAGCAACATACTGAATATTTTATATTATTTGTTATATACATTCAAGATAATATCCACTATACTGAGATCATTTATATAAAAGCATTGTTTAATACTATGTATTTGATATACAACTCATGTTAGCTCCCTTCTGTCTTTGCAGACTATATCTGTACCAATTGCAATTGGCTCCACACTGGTTTTTGCTTTCTGTGTTTAAGGCCCAAGATTCATCTGAATTATTGTGGCAATTCAAAAGTGCAGAGTAATCTAGTGTCAATAGTCAAGTTTAACCAGTTTACATGAGATAAACAGGTGCAAACATCAAGTTATCTAGACAAATACATATATATATACACACACATACACATCATATGTCAACGAATCTCTTCTGGAGTTAGAAATATACTAGATTTTCCATAACTGATAATGCTTTGCCTAGATCATATGATTACCTTCTTTATTAAGGACCCATTTATATACTTCATTCAATTTATGGGAGTGATTTTTTGCTGTCATTATTATAGATTTTCTTTAAGATTTTTCTTTAATATGACCACTTTCTCTTTACTTTCTACTTTGGAAGTTGAACAGACTATCCTCTCTTCCAAATCACAAACATTATCTTCAGGGTTGATAAATCATATCCAGTGAGGAAGACTCTAAGTGCTTTAAGAAAGTCTGAAATTTACCAGAAAGAAATGAGGGAAGGACTGTCAAGGACTTACTCTTTCCATGCTATTATTTTAGGGGAATTGCCCCCAGGGAAGATGGTGCTAAATGGAAGAGAGGTGGGGAAGGACTGGAAATAGTACAGTCATCTTTCTCTATGCCAAAGTAAGCAAAGCAATGAAAAGGGCTGCAGCCTGTGTTACCAGGGAGCCCTGCACTGCAGATGGAAGCAGGGCTTTGTTAGACAACAAACATCTGAGCTTACAACTAATACAAACAATGATCCAGACGCAGGAACAAGATTCTACTGAACAGTGAAGGCAAACAGCTACATGCTGCCTGAATAAATCACTTGGTATATCATCAAGAAAGAAAACTAATTTTTAAAACCCAGTAACACTCTACTGCTCTAGTCCAGACTTTGGCCAGTGACAATAAATGAATGACCTAAGAGGATTCACAACCTTTGTTGTTCTGGGGTGCAGGTCATAGTACATTCCTAGGGTTTCTTTTACCGCTATCTTGATATATTCTATGAATTTCATTTAATTAATGCTTCTGAAATAACATATGGTTTTGGCAGGTGGATCACATGTGGACTTGAGCTGGTTTTGGCTTTTGCATTCAGTTTGAGCTCTGTCAGCCTTTCTACAAACCTGTAGTCAGTTGCAAGTTGGAGCCAGGCAAAGAGTAAAGGTAAGTTGGAGCGAATCCAGAACCTCAAAGGGCAAACTTCCCTGAAAAGCCACAGGTTAGAAGCATCATCACCATAAAGTAAAAGTAGAATGATTGAGTTGGTCACTTTTACTTCCAATGAATATATTATTTACTTTAAACCCAAATCTCTGGAATGGGTCTTTAAATCTTTAGAATAACTCCTTTAAACCTTTTTGGAGAGTTCATCTTTGTTTGGGGCTCCAAAAACAATACTGAATTTATTGGACTTAACGTTTATGCCAAGTTACTTACCCTAATTTAAGAAGTTTCTTCACATAGAAGTGTTATCACATAAGATATGATGACTAAAGCACTTGCCAGAAAATGTCATCTTCTTGTAAAACTCAAATCACAATTACCTCTGGCAGTGGTGGATAGATAATGCCACAGGAAAGATAGAAGAGATAACGGAAAGCCACAGATAAGCCTCAAATCTCATCTCAGCGAAAAATTTCAAATGCGTCCCCACTCCAAACTGACTTTCTTCTGAGTTGATGGTAAGCTGCAAAATATTACTTGAGACCGGTTATCTTTTTTATTTTCTATTTTTTATGTTAAGAGCTGTAAGCTATGTGTTTGGAAGTTTGAAACAAGAAAGAACATAAACACTGTTCTCTGTAATTAGTAGCCTCTAGAGGCCAATTTAGTTTACACTGCAGCCACATCTTCCATAGAAAATACATGTCCATCACTTTATGGGTTAAATTAGATTTGTGATAGTCTGTCACTTATAAGCTCATTTATATTAGGAAACAAAATGTGCTGTTTACAGAGGGAAGAAATGCAGAGGTTTGGGGAATTGCTCCTCCAGCTCAGACTTTCCTACCAAAGGAAGTAAGAGTGAAGGACAGATGTGAGAAACTAAACGGTACTGATTTCTAAGGAAAATTATGCGAAGAGCTGAGGAAGCTGAAGCAGCAGAGAGAACCGAGAAAGGTGAAATTTCACGCAGAACCATCTAGGAGGTCCAGTGATTGGGCTACAAGGGAAATAGGTCCTTGCCCACTGCCAGCTTCTGGTCCTAGAAGCCCCTGCACTCGCCCCAGGACTGCCCTTGGATTTCAGGATTTCTATCGACTAAGCCTCACTCTACATCACAGTCTCAGAAATCAGAGCTCAGAAATGAGCTCTGCCAGTTTTAACTATTGCCTCCTCTGCCCCTCTAGGCAGGTCCACGCTTGGAGATCATTTTAGGTTTGCGTTCATAAATCTTTGGCTCTATATAAAACTCTGCTTTTCTATTGGCATCCGTGCCTGCTCCCCTGGACACTGGTCTTCCTCATCTTCTCTGACTTTATTGCACTTGACTGTTGACCTCAAAATTATAAAGGAGCCCAGAACTCTGATCCCTAACTCACCCATGGCCTTAACTTCTAGCCTCTTTTACCCAAATACCTCATATTTCATGTTATAGACGGAGATCTGAAATAGTGATCAGAATGTCAAAAGTGCCCAGTAAATATTGATTGACAAGGTAAACAATTAGCTGGTATTCAAAGAAGCATGTAGAAAATATAAAAATTGAGGAATAATTCATATGCTGACCCAATTTCAGATTTCAGAAACAATGGCTTCTCATCATCAATGAATTGCTTTATAATCACAACATTCCATATCCTGTGGGCCTTTCTCTGACATCATGTAATGGCACAATATCTAGAAGGATGATGTGTCTTCATGATAACTCTGCCCATGCCTACATGGAAGGTGAGAATGCTATTTGATCATGCAGGCTCCAGGAAGAGACTTGTGTGATCTCAAGAGTTTTCTGGATGTTATTATACCATGTGGTATCACCAACGTTTTGCTTTTCTCATTATAGGCAAGACTGAGACTAAAGTGGTGAATAAGCCAAGAGATCTGGACTTGGCATGCACAGGATTCTTTTCTTCTGCTGCTTTCCTTTTCCAGTTCCATTTTCTTTAGCCCATATATTATCACTTAGAGTTTGCACGTTCCCTAGATAGAGGTATGCTTCTCTTCACTTCTCTAACCATGATATTCAGGCACAAGGACTAATGAATCTACCCATCAAAACCGTGAGGATTAAAAAGCTGGAGATAGGCTGATCACATGAAATCAATTAGGCACTTCCAACTTACAAGCTTCCCGGAGCTTCTCTTTGTCATAGTGGAATCCTTCATAGTCTTGTAAACTGATTTTGTTCACCCGGATCCTCAGGCGATCTGGGACAGACTGGGGACTGCAAAACAAGAACCGAGAGGTTAGATACAAATTTTTACTTCCAATGAATGGATAGTCGTGAGCCTGGAGGGACTGGGGGAAATACAGTCGCTGCGTGTTTAGAAGAAAAAGTTCACATTCAAACCAGAATTGTGGATTCTTTACCAGAATGCAACAATTATCAGAAAAACACTTCTGAAATTTAGCTAAGAATATGGAACTAAGCAGAAAGAGGCTTTGGAGACCATTTTTGTATCCTATTTGCTATTAATTTATTAAAATTTTTTAATAAGATCGTGTGTTTAGTCATATAATAAAATCTGATGCAGGTAATCTAAAATAGTGAGAAGTGGCCTGGAGCTGTACACACCAACAGGCAAATATGCCCATAACAGTCAAACACAGTCCCTGGTAGCCTGACTCTGAGAAGAGACAGAAAAACTGTGATAAAGCAGACTAAGAATCCAGAAAACAGATGACTGAGATCAAAATAGCTCCACATACCTCAAAATCTCTGAGAGCACCTCTCAGGCAAAGCATATTACATTAAATGCTGCCTGTGGTAGTGCCTCTGAGCACCCCAAAATGAAGAAAAAATTTTAAACATGTACAATGTACTTACTTCAGGAAGATAATTAAGTGTGTGACTCATTTTGAAAGAATTCAAGTCCACATTGGCTCAGGAAACATAAACAATTAAAGATTGTCACACCAAACTTTCTGAAGCATCATGCTCACCCTCAGAATGTCTATAACTAGACTTCTTGGATTTTCTTAAGTAATATTTTCAAAGTGGTTGATTCTTGGGCATGACTTGAGTGAAATAATTTAGTTTTCATCACCACCACTATGGACCAACACATTTCTTTAATATATTAATATAACACAATCCTTACTTGTCCTTGAATACTACCTTATACTTAAATTCATTAGTTGAGAGAATTTTCTCAAATAGAGGCTTACTTCTGATTTTTTATATTAAATGGTGATGTCAGTCACCACTGACTAAAGTAGAAAGAATAACATTATTCTTCATTTTATAAAGGAGGGAAAAGAAGAAAAGGAAGGAAAGAAGGAAAGAGAGGCAGAGAAAGAAAGAAAGAAAGGAAAGAGAAGGAAGGAAAGAAGGGAGGAGTGGAGGGAGAGAAGGAGGTGGGGAGGGAGGAAGAAATGGAATGAAGGCAGGAGTAATGCTTTTACAATACTAATCAGGACACCTCTCCCTACCTTTGCCTCAAACACACAGACATAGGCACTCTCCCAATTAATTTTATTGCAACTCTGGAGGGGAGAATGAAAAAATAATGTAATCTCATTCTCTTATCTAAAACCTCATTTTAGGGCAAAGTATAGTAACTCCCTCCATATGGACTCCCACTCTACCCACCCAAAATAGCACATACATATCCAACTATAACACATATGTGCACTCCCACACACGGTGTTCTCTCTCACACACACACTCACGCAAACGCACACACATGCAGGTTTAAACTGTAACTATTTTAAGATGTAGGTATAAGTGCACAAATTCTAAAGAGAGATGGTAGCCAGGTAAAAGTGTCTGAGGTTCACTAGATTAAAATGAAGCCATTACAAAAGCCACACGGATGGATATTTGGGGGATGAAGTTGAGAAGGCAGATTCAATAGCTGTATTGATCCATCACTCAAAGTGTGTTTGTTGGGTGTCTATTTTATTAGCCTTGTGCTGGACACTGAAAGGGCACTGATGAATAAGGCTGACATGAGTATATAAGTTGTGATGGGAAATACAGTTCGACAGCATGCTATTTGTAGATGCAGACTCTAAATTGGTAGAACAGACCCTAAATATCATGCATATCCACACCATTATTTATAGATAGGGAAACTGAGGTTCAGAAAGGTGAAGCGAATTCAAGGTCACATAGCTACTAAGCGGCAGAGCTGAAAGCAGAGTCTTGAACTCTTTCTTCAGTTTCATGCTCTTTCTATAGTACAATGATCCTCTGAGGAGTTTAGATTCTCTGGTAAATAAATACCAAGAATCCCATTGATGTGACAGCAAAGCCATAAAGCTGGCGTCTTCAAACTACGGCCCGCAGGCCACATGTGGGTGTTTTTGCCCATTTGTTTTTTCTTTTTTACTTCAAAATAAGATATGTGCAGTGTGCACAGGAATTTGTTCATAGTTTTTTTTAAACTATAGTCCGGCCCTCCAACAGTCTGAGGGACAGTGAACTGGCCCCCTGTTTAAAAAGTTTGAGGACCCCTGCCATAAAGAGTGGATTAGCCGAGTCCAGCAAACTCTATGTGGTGCTCAGATTCTCTACCAATAAACACTCAAGAGGATAGTTCAGGAATGAGAAGACACTGGGCAGATATTACAAATGAGTGTGCAGATCTGTATATAGTTAGAGGGAAGTCTGGATACAACATATGGTTAAGTGAAAAACATTCATTGAAAATTATATATAGTATAAGTTCCTTCATGTAAATTGTGGAATTTAGGAAGAGTTTGTATACGAAAGAGAAGTGTCTGAAGTGTCAACAGGCTGTTCCAAGTGGTTATCTCTATGTGGTGGAATTTGGGGATTATTTTACATTGAATATCATCATTTTTAAACAAATAATATAATGATTTTAGAAGTATGTTAATGTATAAATAAATGATAACTCAGGAAAACAGTAAAAATAAGGATTGCAGCAGAGCATTAGGTATTAGATGCAAGTAGGGAGGAAAGAATTTAAGTGACTGACAGAGTGAGCATACAATGTTCACACCAAATCTTTACCCCCAAATTAAGGGGGTCTGATCTGCTATTTATTTCCAAGTTCACTCAAGCGATCAGCAAAGATCATAATTAGCAATCATTTGCCTGCAAACATAGCAGATAAAATGGACGCTGGCAGCTTAGAATGTGGTGGCCCAGCATGCTCTGTCACTGGAGAAGGTGGTGGGGGTTGAATGAGTTCCACCTAAATAATTTTTTGAGATATCAATAGATCTAATGGCAGTGGGCTCTAGTCTTCTCCACTGGACTTCAGTACAGTGGCAGTTGCCAAGTGGGAAATAAGATTTGGAGACTGACTGCCAACCAGTCCCACATGTCTCCCCCATGCAGCTCCCCTGACTTTGGGCTGGTGCCCAGTGTGCAACACCTTTCCCAAAGTGCATCAGTGCCTGCTCCCTGTCCACACGCTTCTACCTCCCAGGTTGTCACGGATGCCCTCTGACTCCAACCTGCACCCTGGCCTTCCACCAATCTTCTTGACTTCAGGGGGCACGCCATTGACATACACAGGAACTATTATTTGGATAGAACTTTACAGATCCCAAGTGAATTCACCTATTGTCTCACTTCATCTCCAGAATGACCAGCTAAACAAGACAGAAGAAAATGAAGACTCTCACTAACCACCACTTAACACTCTGTCCCATCCACCTGCCTACATATTCACTCTCTTGCTCTCAGCTCCCACCTTCTCCCAACAACCTGCCATACTTCCCACTTTCCCACCAGCAGAAGCTTGCTTAAACCCAGTCTTCAGACTAGGGTATCTGGCGTTTTGTCGCCTATCAAATGTTGTCCCAGCGGAGGCCCATTAGGAAATTTGAGGGCATATAGGGTCCATGATGGGAAACGTTTTTTTGAATGATTCTCAACCCTGGTGTAAAGAGCAGGCAGGGGGGCAACACAGCAAAGTGGTTAAGAGCTCAGGATCCAAGTCAGATTGCCTGGATTTGAAGTAATATTCTTCCAACTACTGGTTAATCAGAAAACTGTGTGTTTCTGTTTCCTCATAGGTATAGTGGAAATGATAACAGTACTCACCTTGCAGGCATATTATGAGCATAAAATGAGTCAATACATATGATGTGCTTAGAAAAATTTCTGGCATATTATCAGTGCTCAACAGACATTAGCTATTATCACTCTAATAATTATTCTAAAAATTGCTCCCCTAGATAAGGTTTTGCTTAACAAACAATAGCATCTGCTGCTGCTAGATACTGAATTAAGTTCACAGCACATACAAAGACCTCCCCAGACATTTCTGACAAATTGCTGGGCTTCCTCAGCGGGGAAACTGCCCAGCTTGGATTGCGGCGTGACATTTTACACTCCTGGATCTTCTCCCACCTGGTCTTTGACAAGGCCAACTAATAACATGAAAACAGACAGCTGGAACATGGGGGAGAAAGACGCACAGAGATCAGATGAAAGCCAAGTAATTCAATTTTGTCCCTTTATGTCAAAATATATTAGTGTCCCATTAGTGGCTGACTAAAGGTGGAGGATGACAAAGCTGTTCTTCGCAGTCTGGGGAATAGCACTGCCATTAGTTTTCTAAAATTAAATTTTTCCTGGGAAGTTAGTAGAGCATGGAGGGGACTAACAACTGGGGTAAAAATAAATTTGCCTCCTTGCCAACGTCTACTCCAAGCTACTCCCATGTTGACTTTGGCTCTATAGCAGGGGCCTGGTCCTGGCTTCCGGGGAGCCACTCAAGCTTCCTGAAAGGGATTCAGCCATCTGTGAAGTCCCTTTCATACTGGGGTAGCAACCTCAACCTGCCATCTTCGCACTAATTTCCTCTGCAACAGTGCGACTGAGATCCTTATGCAGAATGGAAGTTCATGGCTCTGGACTGAACTCCTCCTAAAAGTCTCTGTGAATATTTTCTCAAAAACCGTCATAAGAGCCTCTCTCGTTAAGTCACTCAGGTGGGCTTCCAACAACCTCCAGCCCCCAGCTCCCCTGATCCACGTTATGCACACCTGTTGCCCTGAGACGTTAGAAGGGAGGGGACTGCCATCCCATCAAGACAACTCCCTGAACTCTCACTGCTGCTCAATCGACACTTAATTCCTGCTGTTTTCTACTGTCCTGCAGATGCCATCAATAGCTCTTTAAAAAAAAAAATTGTTCCCATGTAGAATTTCAAACTATTAGGGTCAAATTACCCCCTTTCTCCCCTCAAACTTCTTCATCCTTTCAGTCATTTTCTTTAGTGCACCCTGTTCTGTTTCTCT